CCCACTTTTTCTCTCCTCAAGAAGACTCACCCAACTTTCCCCCTTTGTTCTCATGTCTCTCCACTTCCTGCAAACTAAGTTCAAAGTGCAAACATATTTTGTACTGGGTTGTTGTAGGTTTTTTTCGAGCTATATGGCCATGTTCTAAAGGCATTTTCTCCTGATGTTTCGCCTGCATCTATGGCAAGCATCCTCAGAGGATGCTTGCCATAGATGCAGGTGAAACGTCAGGAGAAAATGCCTTTAGAACATGGCCATATAGCTCGAAAAAGCCTACAACAACCCAGTGATTCCGGCCATGAAAGCCTTCGACGATATTTTGTACTCATTGGGTTTCCTTGAGTAGAGGTATCATAGTTTGCTTCTGAAATAGAGGCCACTGCCTTTAGTGTTCCCTGGTGATCTCCCTTACAAATATTAGCCTGGTTTTGCTTAATGTCGAAAATCAGACAGGATTTGGCAACTTCAGGGTATTCACTCAGACAATGCAAAGGGGAAAAAAAACTTTGTACCCAAAATGCTCCACATCTAGTAGAACTAATCATATAAATGGAAAGAGTTGGATGATATTTTACAAACTTTCAAAGAGAGCTAGTGGTATTTGCCTGTTGTAGCAAAAGCCACACTAAAAAGTGATGTGGTGCCAGCTTAATAACAAACAGTGCATGCGGCTACAGTCCCATGGAAGCGGCTCTCTCTGATCACAGTGGGGTTTATTTCTGCATAGACATGTATAGGATGATGCAGTCAGTCTCTGTTGTTTCTACTGTTTGGGTGTTTTTGTGCTTCGCGTTCCCCCAACTATCCTTCCCACAATGGCTCAGTGTCATGGGCCACTATTATCTGTGTGTGGTGGATACGAGGGGTCAAGAGAGACAGTCCCTCATCCGAGGCCACCCAGTGAATTTTTGACCGAGCGTCTGTGTTGTGCCCAAATCCTCATCCTCCCAACTGCTCCCTAATATATATGTTTGAGGCTTCAGCTGTCTCCCTCCTGGGGTTGTTCCAGAGAGAGACCCTTTAGGCAGTCATTAACTTGCTCTGTTCAAGAGGAACAAAACCAGCTTCCTTTCTATTGTCCGGGAAGGTGCCAAGGGTCAGGGGCCTTGCTTCATGGCAGATCCGCTGTGAAAGGCTTTCCCTTCCTTTTCACACAGGCAGAACTAACTCTTCATGCTTGGCCAGAGCAACAATGGCTGAAGAAGAGAACAAGAGATCCGTGCTTAAAACACATGGAGATTGTGCCGAGCAGCTTTGTTGGAGAGGCTGCTGTCAGCAGGAAGCCCTTCCTGGAGATGGCCAGAGCACATTCTGCTCTGCTATGGCCTAAGAGAGAAGAGCCAAGCAGCACAGTGGATTTCCCAAGAATGGACCACGTCACTCACAATATCCTACAAAAGCCAGATGCACAGCGCAATGGCCTTCAATACTGGCATTACAAATTATCCATGTGCTTATTCCTGGCTCCAAACTCTGCGCGTATGGGATTTTCTGGGAGGTAAAGGAACAAAGGGGAAAGAAACAGAGCACTTTCTGGGACCACACCATTCATTTGCTGATGGATGTTGCACAGCAGCAGCAAATTCTTCCATCCATTACACCCAGTGAGTTGGCCAGCTTTTGGACTATATACCATCAGAGAGGGGATCAGAATGCCTTCATGTAAAGAAACTATCCAAATCTATCACACCAAGATGAAACATATAGCACTTTCCTGTCTGCATAAGCAGCGCATATTTAAAAGAAATGGGTGATAGGTATTTCAGAAAAAAATATTATCTCCTCTCCCATACACTCCAAAATGTCAGTGTGCTGGAAGATGCAAAGACCACCAGCATTGAAGCGATGCTCCTATGCCATCAACCCCACTGAACTGCCCATGTTGTCCAAAGCCTGAGCAATTTTCTTACATCATCAACTCTGCTGGACTGACTACATTGTCTGAATGCCCGATCACTGTCTCCCAAAGTAGTTACTATACTCTGAACTCAAGAACGGAAAATGTAATATTGGTGGACAGGAAAAAGAGATGTAAAGATGGGCTTAAAGCCAATCTCAAAAACTGTGGCATAGAGACTGAGAACTGGGAAGCCCTGGCCCTTGAGTGCTCTAACTGGAGGTCAGCTGTGATCAGCAGTGCTGCAAAATTTGAAGAGGCACAAATGGAGGGCGAAAGGGAGAAATGTGCCAAGAGGAAGGCACATCAAGCCAACCCTGACCGGGACCACCTTCCACCTGGAAAGCTGTGTCCTCACTGCAGGAGAACAAGTGGATCAAGAATAGGGCTTCACAGGCATCTATGGACCCACCACCAAGATTCATCACTTGGAGGACCATCATCCTTGAACTAGGACTGAAGACTGACAGATTGCAGGTTCAAATCTGGGGAGAGCACGGATGAGCTCCCTCTATCAGCTCCAGCTCCTCATGCGGGGACATGAGAGAAGCCTCCCACAAGGATGATAAAACATCAAAACATCCGGGCATCCCCTGGGCAACATCCTTGCAGACGGCCAATTCTCTCACACCAGAAGCGACTTGCAGTTTCTCAAGTAGCTCCTGACACAACAAAAAAAAAAATCCTTGAACTACGAGGGATCACCGAAGTAAGTAAGTAAGTAAGTACACTCCAAAATGGTTCAAGTCCAGAAATGTTTTCTAATGTTTAGAATGGCTCTAGTTTTCTGTCTACACCAACAGAAAGTCTTACATTTCCAAGGCACAAAGGGCTCATCAAAATATTCTTAATTGTCTCCAAATGCCTGGGACTGTGCTTGATGTGTTTGTGAGAAAAAGTCTCTGAGCAAACCTCCCAGAGGTTGTGTCAACATAAAGGCTTTTAAATTTGAGAAGGGGCCATGCCAGAAGGATGCCCTGTCCCAAACCTGACATTTCCGTTGGCAAGCTGGTGTCCTTTGCTGTCAATCTGTCAACGCATCCGGATGTGCCTCAGTTTTATCACTTGAACATTAGGGCACTGTATGTGCTTCACAGACTGATAGGTGAAGGGGCTGATCCAGCAGTAGGCTGGCATGCGGCACTTGTCCATACATGCAGAAGCTTGATGCTTAGAAAGCCAAGCTGGACACCTTCCTCTGAGCTGATCTGCTTCTAAATGCCAAAGTGTATCTGCTGTTGCCAGTGACAATTTTGGAATGAGATGAAGAAACACAGCCTGAAAATCTCACATCTTATTATTATTTTTTTAAAAAGAACAAAGCAAAGAGAGATAATGAGAGTAATGACAGCTGAGTGCCCAGCGGCCTTTGTTCGGAAGCAAAAATGCACGCAACTGGGGAAAACTGGTAAGTAGGATAAAAATTACTGAGAAAGTAATTGTTTCATAGCTTTCTTTCTTCCTGACACCTAAATACCCCGAAGGCACCAGATTCTGTCTGATCTTTGAAACTAAGCAAGGTCAGCTCTGGTTAGCACTCGGGTGGAAGACTGGTCTAAGAATGTCAAGTGTTGTTGACTATATTTCAGAAGAAGACAATGGCAAACAACTCCTTCCTAGGAAAACGTTATGAAATTCATGGGTTTGTCATAAGCTGACAAGCAACTTGAAGGCACATACAGGCACATGCTGTTCTCAGAGGCCTCCAAACACTTCTCAGTTGCCTTGCAGATCTTTTCTAAGACACCTCTCACTGCTAGGATCTTCTTGTCCTGGTACAAGTTCACTTGAAGGCAACTTGCTGGAAAGGGCGAAAGTTCATGGGCTGATTGGGTGTCTACCCTTGGGCCAGACAGTCTGGGTCAGAGAGAGATATTTTGGCTGTTCTGTTCTGTTTTGGCCAAGCTCCTGGTTGGGAAGGAAGAGCTCCCACCTCAGTCAGGAAGACTATTTGCCTGCTCAGCAGCAGATGGCAAAGGAGAGACAAATACAGGATAATGACCGTGATGGAGATGAATGAGCAAGTTATGGTTCTGGAGTAAAGGCAGAAACACAACCTCTCTCCTGAGAGAGGACTCTGTCTAAAGATATCTGACTTACTTAATGCTGAATTCAACCCAGGAAGAAACCAGTTATTCTGATGAGCACAGATATTTTCTAAAAAACACTTCCTCCTCCAGTTGTGTCTGTTATTTCCCTTGGCTATAATAGCATCAGCACAATAGCCATGTAGCGACTTCTTTCTCCTCCCTAAAATAGTCACATGAGTAATCGGGTATCATACATTGACTGGGATACCATTAGGATGCTATTTCATTGATTTTTTTTCATGTCAGGAGCGACTGCAACTGAAATTGCAAGTTGCTTCTGGTGTGAGAGAATTGGCCGTCTGCAAGGACGTTGCCCAGGGGACACCCGGATATTCTGATGTTTTACCATCCTTGTGGGAGGCTTCTCTCATGTCCCCTCATGGAGAGCTGGAGCTGACAGAGGGAGCTCATAGGCACTCTCCCCAAATTTGAACCTGAGACCTGTCGGTCTTCAGTCCTGTCAGCACAAGGGTTTAACCCATTGCGCCCTTGGGGGCTCCAATTCACTGATGAGATGGACAGATATTGATAGTGAAGTCAATAAATGTATATCTTAATAAGGAATGCAACCAATGCTAGAAATGGATACACTACTGGCTCTTTCCAAGTTGTTTGCAAAATCTGAGCAAACTATGAAAATAAACTGTCTCAAAATTGGATTTAATTAATATGGTTTTTTTTTTAAAAAAAAAATCCTCTGTGAGCATGATACCACACATCTAAAGCAGGCCAGGCTCAAATATGGGATGTTACTTTCAGACTGCAAGAACACATTAGTTGACAAGATTGTCACTTGGTTAACCTCTTGAAAGCAAAACAAAACAAGCAAAGCAAGAATTATTGGACTTTAGTCATATTTACTAGTTCTGTGGCCATGTCTTAACTTAAAAGATGGGTAGAGGGAGAAGAAATGAAGTCAATCATACCCAACACCACAAAAAAGAAAGAGAGTAGGTGGCATGTCCTCCACTTGTTTTCAAAGTTATGGCTTTACTATATCCTCCCCCCCCCCGAAGATGTAAAGCGCTATGGGTGGGGACTCACCTTAGACATGGCAATGCCATTTCCTGTAACACACTCTAAAAGGGGATGCTATTCCAGTCTCCTGGAGGACGAGTCAACTGCAGGCGAGATCTAACAAGCCACAGAAAGGAGAAACTTCTCATGTTTACCTTAGAAGCTTTATGCAAGCCTTCACTCAACCTGGTCAAAAGCCTGTGAAACAGGTTTGCATCACCAGCCTCATTCTATAGCTTCATAAATGTAAGGCGAGAGCAGGAAAGGTAGTTTTTCCAGATGAATCTCATTGACCAGGAGACACGTCTATTGATGCTGAGTTAAAAGTTATAGGCCCTTGTTGGTGTTTGAGATGCATAATAATGAAAGTCATCATTCCATCAGAAGTGATGGCTCTGTGATAAGATCCACAAAGAGACTTGTAGGAATTGTAGGTGAGATTCTGGCCATCTTTGGAAGCAGCCTAGGAGGCACAGAGGAGAAGGACAAGTGCTGTAGAAAGTGGCCAACTCCTGATCTAGTTGCCACTCAGACCAGCCTTTGTTGCTCCTCTCCAGGTTATTAAGGTGGCACACCCTGGGAAAGAGGAAGGATTTTGGAGTGTAGCTGGATCTTATTGGTTCATCTACCTTCTGCTCACACCTAAGAGACATTTCTATTTATCATAGTTGTTAAATATAAGCCCATAACCCCCAGCTCCCCAAAGAAAAACCTAAAAAGTCAAAAATCCCATGCCATTTCCCCCCACTGAGGTAGATGTCACTTTGGAGGAAGGCAAAGCAGGAAGAAGAAAGAGGGAAAGAAAGAGTGGCTGACCTTCAATGTCTCCTAATATTTTCAACAGATCTACCTGGCGAGGGCCTCTTCAGGCCAGTTAGTGCACATCTGTCTTTAAAACCTACAGCCCTGCTCGGCCAGACCAAGCCTGGGTTTGGGTTAGTAGTTAGCCTATGTTACACATGCCTCCCATGTGTCAGACGTTTGACTTTGCCTCAGCACTCCTGGAGCATGCAGGGACTGGTGGCTGGCGGTGGACGTGGTGAGCTGCATTTCTCTGAGGCAATGGGCTTCCCCACATAGTCAGTGCACAAGGCACTTCGTGTCCGCACTCCAACTCCACACGTCTGGGAACAGGGGGACCAAGGCCCCATCTGCCAGATCGGGCATGGGAGGTCGCTGCAGGGCTTGATGTCCTCCGGCTTGAGGCCCTTATCACAGGTCAAGGAGCTCTGACCGTCTACGTCTAGGCATTCAACTGTTCGTCTCTGCCATCCGGAGCCGCAGGATTTGGAGCACTCAGACCAGTCTCCCAGCACCCACTGCGACGTCAACATGGGTTTGATGACATTGGCCAAGCTCTTCTCCTTGCTCTTCTGTTTGCTAAAGTAGGTGTCCTTGGGGATAAAGAAGGTGTATCTCACCTTTGGAGAAGGGAATACCTTGGGGAGGAACATCTCACTGGAAACTGACAGCACTTGGACAGTAATGGGTTCTGGGAGTCGCTGGTAACTCTGAAGGCGTTCCAGGGTTGTAAGAGAGCCACTGTATCTCAGGACAGTCCCTTTCATGAAAATGTCTTGTTCCATGGCAGAAACAGTGAAGTTTCCATTCAAGAGGTATTTGCCATCCAGTGCCCTCAAAGCTAAATAGTTCCCATCGTGCCTCACCCCTCGGCGGCTGTGTTGCTTGATATCAATGTTGGTTGCTCCCGCAGGAATTGTGACAATGTCATTATACCCAAACCTATAGGGACCAAAGACATGGTTGTTACCCTCAGATATAGGCAAGGTGCGCAAGAATATTTTTGTTGATATGTCAAGAAAAAAATCTGGTTTCGGTATCTAACTCTTAAAATCTGTGGCAAATACACATACTATAGACTGAGCTTAAACTGTTACTCCAGGAACTTTGAGAAGTATATGATTATGTAAGGTGGGAAATAAGAGACTTCAACATAATCCCAATGTCATCACCTAACTGTTAGGTCCTAGGATTATTTAAGGCACAGTTTAACTTAGTAATATTGCTATATTTGGCACAGCACTCTTGACATATATCTATTTGAGATTCGGAATAAGAAGAAAATTGGGCAGAGAAGGCAAAAACATGTTTGGATCATAAGTGGGATAGGACTAAGAATTCTTCTTAAACAGTACTGTAAAAGGAAAACTCAAAGCAATAAAGAAATATTGTTATTCTGTTTTGAGAAGAACTTTGGGCATCACATCACACTTGCAGGTGCCTCATCCATTATCCCAAGCAAAGGAAGCTGGCAAACTTCTGGTTTAGTATGCTTGCCAAAGCTATCCTTCTTGGATTCCTTAGCTCAGCTGCATTTTGTCACCGAGCCAATGCCTGACTGATATATAACCTTGTGCTTATGAAGAAATATGCTTAAATCTCAGCTTCAGAAGCATACTAAATAAGGATGCAAATCAACCCTAGGCAGTTGTCCTTTACACTTCCACTCCCCCTCCTTTGAATTACTTGGATCAACTGAAGCTGATCAAGTGTGTCTCTTACTTGGATCTGTTGAGTGAACCAGTAATTTTCCTGCAAGACGAACCATTGCCGCCACAAACTCCACACTTGTCTAATTTCTTGAGTGACCCAATAATGTGGTCACAGCCAGCTTTGATGCACTGACCATGTACACAAACAGAGAGGGTATCCGGTGCACAGACGGTCCCATCAATCACCTGATATATATATAAAAGAAAAACAAAGTAAGAACATATTATAGAATCATAGAATCATAGAATCAAAGAGTTGGAAGAGACCTCATGGGCCATCCAGTCCAACCCCTTGCCAAGAAGCAGGAATATTGCATTCAAATCACCCTTGACAGATGGCCATCCAGCCTCTGTTTAAAAGCCTCCAAAGAAGGAGCCTCCACCACACTCCGGGGCAGAGAGTTCCACTGCTGAACGGCTCTCACAGTCAGGAAGTTCTTCCTCATGTTCAGATGGAATCTCCTCTCTTGTAGTTTGAAGCCATTGTTCCGCGTCCTAGTCTCCAAGGAAGCAGAAAACAAGCTTGCTCCCTCCTCCCTGTGGCTTCCTTTCACATATTTATACATGGCTATCATATCTCCTCTCAGCCTTCTCTTCTTCAGGCTAAACATGCCCAGTTCCCTAAGCCGCTCATCATAGGGCTTGTTCTCCAGACCCTTGATCATTTTAGTCGCCCTCCTCTGGACACATTCCAGCTTGTCAATATCTCTCTTGAATTGTGGTGCCCAGAATTGGACACAATATTCCAGGTGTGGTCTAACCAAAGCGGAATAGAGGGGTAGCATTACTTCCCTAGATCTAGACACTATGCTCCTATTGATGCAGGCCAAAATCCCATTGCTTTTTTTGCCGCCACATCACATTGTTGGCTCATGTTTAACTTGTTGTCCACGAGGACTCCAAGATCTTTTTCACACGTACTGCTCTCGAGCCAGGCGCCACCCATTCTGTATCTTTGCATTTCATTTTTTCTGCCAAAGTGGAGTATCTTGCATTTGTCACTGTTGAACTTCATTTTGTTAGTTTTGGCCCATCTCTCTAATCTGTCAAGATCGTTTTGAATTCTGCTCCTGTCCTCTGGACTATTGGCTATCCCTCCCAATTTGATATTGTCTATCATACCATGACAGATCTTCCAATGGCTAGGATTGATGTTTCATTTACAAGTAGCTTCCTTCTGTGTTTCCTTCCTGTCATATTAATGCCACTTGCAAGTGCTATTTAGAACCTCCATCCTACTACCAGTTGTAGGAGAATTTTGCTTTGTGAGTGGCAACCTTTATACTGCTTGCCCGCATCATCAATGTAATTTTCCTGACTTAAGTTACAGTCGTTGGCATATTGATCATCCACACCATCAAGGTGAATTCCTGTAGGAATCTGCTTTATGCTGAATTAAAGAATCTTTCTCAGTATTATGCATGCTAAGTGGAAAACACTCTCTGTGATTTCAGACAGGTCTTTTTCCTACCCAGCCTGGAAAAGCTGTGGACTGAACCTGAGACCACCAACTTACATGTGAAGTTGGTGGTCTCAGTTAGAGTAAAGAGTAAAGTTATGGTCTCGGGTTGAGGTTGGCTGGAGTTCCTCGTCAACTTGCTTGGGCTGTTCCATTACCCCTAGAACAGTGGTCCTCAACCTGGGGTCCCCAGATGTTTTTGACCTACAACTCCCAGAAATCCCAGCCAGTTTACTAGCTGTTAGGATTTCTGGGAGTTGAAGGCCAAAAAGATTTGGGGACCCCAGGTTGAGAACCACTGCCCTAGAAAAGTGAGCACTCTAACTGGAGATCAGCTGTGACCAGCAGTGCTACAGAATTTGAAGAGGCACGAATGGAAGTTGAAAGGGAGAAATGTGCCAAGAGGAAGACGCATCAAGCCAACAGTGACTCGGACCACCTTCCACCTGGAAACTGATGTCCTCATTGCGGGAGAACATGTGGGTCAAGAATAGGGCTCCACAGCCACCTACGACCCACCAATACTACACTTGGAGACCATCATCCTCCAAGATACTACTCTTAACAAGTATACTAGGGCTGGGCGGTTTCGTTTCGTAATTTCGTAATTCGTTAAAAATTCGTTATTTTTTTTTATAACGAAGCGATAACAAACCATTCAGGAGCAACTAAAAAACGAAACGAATTTTTAAATTCGTTTCGTAATTGTTTCGAATTCGTTTTGTATTCGTTTCGTTATCGTTTGAAATCGTTTCGTTATTATTTCCGCATGTCTGGGGCAAGTTTTATAGTTGTTGTTTGTTTAATCAGTGAAAAAAAATTATAAATATCACACCAACAGTCAACAACAGAGGGAGAGGGAAGCTTCAGAAGTTCCCCCTGTCCCATTGGAGGTTTTTTAGCGTATTGCGCGGTCGCGTCCGCCATTAACGAATCGATTCGTAATTGTTTCGTAATTGTTTCGTATTGTTTTGTAATTTACGAAATTTCGTAAATATCGAACTTTTTAAAAGAAAAATTTCGGAATTCTTTTAAAAATCGAAACGCAAAACCCCCCAAAAAACGAATCGATTTTAGAAACAAATTTTTCCGTGGTTGCCCAGCCCTACTAAGTATGTAAGTAAGAAAAGTGACTTCCACATGTCCAGGAAAGAATGGAAGTACTCATAGGAATTTATCACACAAGACCAGCAAATTGCAATTACAATAGGACAAAAGCATCTTTGCTTTGGATTTATCACATAACCTCAATCCTTTCCTGCTGCTCTCCTGGTGAGAGGTATTTCTTTTACAAAAGGGGATTATTAGCAGATTATTTGTATTTGTAATCAAAGTGCTTTCCACCCATTCTCCTACCAGAAGATCAGCAAGGAAGGAGTGAGAAGTCCAAGTAATGCTGTAATTGCAATTTCCCTGCCTTGCATGATGAACTCCATAGTCACACAGAGAAAGAGGGAACCTTCAGCATGCTTTAAGTCCCCGAGAGCCTTTGTGGTCACCCTCAAAGCACGACAGTGGGTGCGAAAAGAGAGTTCTTACTTTAGTCTCAAACACTTTGAATTCATTTCCTCTCTTAGCCTGGCAGACCAGCTTGCAGCGATCCCGAGGTGATACGCCTGCATACTTAGGGGTCCACTCCAGTAGATTCCCATTCATGTCTGTGTAGTTGTATCTATTGTATTTTTCACACTGTTGCTCTCGAAAGCTCTTGTCTACAAAGAAAGGGAAGAGGATTAGAAACACACATTACTGAAAAAATGGACGTGGAGGACTATCATGTTCCACTTCAAGCCTATAGTTGGATGATAATTGCATTTCATGTCTCTGACCTGAAAACTTTGAATGATTATTGCTGAGTGGATGTTGGCTATTGCTGTTATGACTACATAGCAAGCTATTTAACCTCAGCAGACTGAAAGCCAAAACCAAGGTTACAACAACATCTGTTATAGAAAACCAATATGCTGATGACAATGTTGTCTGTGTGCATTCAGAAGACCTACAAGCCACTCTAAACACCTTCGAAGAAGCATACGAGAAGCTCGGCCTGTCATTGAACATCGAGAAAACCAAAGTGCTCTTCCAGCAGTCACCAGCCAATCCCCCTCCAATGCCAAAAATATAGCTTATTGGTGTAACACTAGAAAATTTTGACAATTTCCGATACTTTGGCAGCCACCTCTCCACAAAAGTCAACATTGACACTGAAATACAACACTGCCCGAGCTCTGCGAGTGCAGCATTTTTTCAAATGAAGAATGATTGAGGACCGAGACATCCATAGGGATACCAAGGTGCTTGTTTATAACGCAATTGTCCTCCCAACCCTGCTATATGCCTGTGAGACATGGACTGTCTACAGATATCACATGCAACTCCTGGAATGATTCCATAAGCATTGCCTCCGAAAAATCCTGCAAATCTCTTYGGAAGACAAGCAGACAAATGTCAATATGCTGGAATTAGCAAATACCACCAGCATTGAAGCGATGGTCCTCTGCCATCAACTCCACTGGACTGGCCACGTTGTCCAGATGCCTGACCACCGTCTCCCAAAGCAGTTGCTCTACTCTGAACTCAAGAACAGAAAACGGAATGTTGGAGGGCAGGAAAAGAGATTTAAAGATGGGCTCAAAGCCAACCTTAAAAACTCTGGCATAGAGACTGAGAACTGGGAAGACCTGGCCTGRGAGRGCCCCAGCTGGAGGTCAGCTGTGACCAGCAGTGCTGTAGAATTTGAAGAGGCACGAATGGAGGGCGAAAGAGAGAAACGTGCCAAGAGGAAAGTGCATCAAGCCAACCCTGTCTGGGACTGCCTTCCACCTGGAAACGAATGCCCTCACTGCGGGAGAACATGCAGATCAAGAATAGGGCTCCACAGTCACCTATGGACCCACTGCCAGGACACCGATCTTGGAAGACAATCCTACTCAGATAACAAGGGATCACCTAAGTAAGTACAACCAAAGTGCCCATTGACATAACTCCTAAACAAATGCAATTTGGGATGAATATATCTCATTGCAATGCATGCTATGTTGATTACTGCTTTTGGGGTAGATAGAAATAAAAAGTGTTGATGAAACATTATTATTCTCCTTAAAGTCTTTTCAATGCTTTAATACATTTCCAAATGCCCTTAGAAAACAACTAGGAAGTAACTCAGAAATGTTTGGTATACCCTTCCATTAACCACATTCTTTTCTGTCACATTCATTTTGAACGGAGACTTTGTTATGCCCTCATTACAAGGAGGGCTAGTCGCATTGAACAACACTACTTTCAATGCAGTACAATATGACCTCCACTTATAAACAGTTGATATTTACCATTAGGTGGGCATTCTTCTGTGTTGCATGACTCATATTGGACTCTTTGGCCCTCACAGTATTTGCCCCCATTCTTAGGCATGGGATTGTCACATCCTCTGTAGGAGAAATGCACTCCTCCACCACAGGTCCTGGAACATGGTCCCCAAGAGCTCCAGGGACCCCAGTTTCCATCCACAGGAGGCTGAAAGACAGAAATCCTGAGATTATGGCTCACATTCTTTGCAATTTGCTACCGAAAGACTGTCCTCAGGAAGAAAATCATCACAATGGGAAAACTAATCAGGACCCCTTTTCACCTGAGAAATCTTTATGTGACCCTGGGTATAGAGGTATATAAAATAGGTATAAAAACCAAACTTTTACTGATGACAAATCAGTGTTTGCAAGGCTTACTAAACAGGCTCATTTTCCTTTTCATGAAGTACAGCTGAAGCATCTTCTGCAGAGTCCACTGTAAACACTGCACAACGGATTCGGACAGGGCTGTGGCACAGCTAGTTAGTCTCCAACTGCATTAAATTGCTACTGACCAAGAGGTCATGAGTTCAAAGCCAGCCCGGGTCAGAGTAAGCTCCCGACCATTAACAGTGTAGCTTGCTATTGACCTATGCAGCCTGAAAGACAGTTACATCTGTCAAGTAGGAAATTTAGGGACTGCTTTATGAAGGGAGGCTAATTTAACAAATTTATGTGCCCCAAGTCCCCTGAGGGGTGAGTAGGGCGGAATATAAATACTGTAAATAAATAAATAAATAAACAAATAAATAAAATGTCTGAAATCACGGGAAAATGATTTTAGTAATGAGATGCTGAGGACTCCTGTTTTATGGTGTTTTATTGTTTCTACTGCTTTTATATAGTTTCTATTATATGTTAATGGGCCTACAAAGTGGAATTCATGACATGCGAGTGTGGAGAAGAGCAAACCACTGACCACCTGCTGCAATACAACCTGAGCCCTGCCACATGCACAATGGAGGACCTTCTTGCGGCAACACCAGAGGCACTCCAAGTGGCCAGATACTGATCAAGGGACATTTAATCTACTACCAAGCTTGCAGATTTTGTGTCTTGTCTGTTTGTTTGTTTTGTTCTGTTAGAAATGTAATACAATTGTCTGGTTGCCCCTGACACGATAAATAAATAATAATATGTTAATATTTTCAACTATATTTTACGTGTTGGAGGCATTGATTGCCGATTGTAAACCGCCTCAAGTCCACTTTCGGGCTGAGAGAGGCGGTATATAAATATGGTAATAAATAAATAAATAAATAAATAAATAATTTTATGATGCTATAAAATCTTCCAGCAGCGTGCAGAGGAATGAGGAAGTGCTCCATCAAAGGACCTGGTGTCACAAGTAGATGGTAAAGCGGCAGCTCCCCCTGTGGCTGGAACCGAGCATACCCTCACGAAGCTGGAAAAGTTGGAATGTTAAATTGCCCCTGTGTCTGTCCATATATGTTGCATGTCTAAATGGCACTGGATGTTTGCCATGTATATGTGCATTGTAATACGCCCTGAGTACCCTGTGGGGTGGGAAGGGCGGAATATAAATACTGTAAATAAATAAATAAATAAATAAATAAAATGTCTGAAACAGCCACAAGGTTGCATTCAGAAAACTTGAGAGTTTCCAAATTTTTCAGAACCCCAACATTGAACTAAGGGGACCCCCTTTTGGGGCCAGGACCCAAAGCTTAAGAAGCATTGGTCTATATTTCTTGGAAATGACCCAAGAGGAAAGATGATGCATCTCTTCCCCATGCCAATCCTTCTGGTCCAAGTTCAGACTCCTTCTAATGCATTTTATTACATCAATGGGAAGAGGATTTGCACCAATGTCCCATGGAAGGGTAGCCTGATTCCTACTATGAGATTACCTCAGGAATCACGGCATCCTGCGCTACACAACGGCCATCCAAGCACATCTTCTCTGCTCCACAAGGCGTCCCATCTGCCCAAGGCAAGCTGCCATTTTTGGTGTGGCACAGGCGCTCCCCTGTTTCCATCTTGCACCAGAGCTGGGAGCAGATGTCCTCCTGAGAGGCATTTGGGCAATGTTGGAACTCTTTGCCGAAGATTTGTTGGCACTGACGATCCAAGTTATATAAGGCCACTTGGCCGGGGAGGTCTGTGGGGAAGGCAATAGGCTCAGCTGGTTCATCAAGCAGACAGTCACCTATTGAGTGAGAAAAGTATGAGAAGGTTGTAGTGCAGGTTGTGTTAACGTTGTTGTTTAATTGTAAAGCAAAAGAGAGAGGTTCTGTCCTGAAGGAGCCAAATTGGGGAATAGCAGCAAAAAGAGAGACAATAGTTCAAAAACTTAACCTGCTCAGTGTAAATCCAATGATTCATTGTATTTAGGTGTATGTTGACTCACCATTCAACAATTGATTTAATGGACAGTTCTACTCTAGCTAAGGTAAAGGTAAAGTTATTCCCCTGACATTTGAGTCCAGTCAGGTCCAACTCTGGAGGTTGATGCTCATCTCCATTTCTAAGCGAAGAACCGGCGTTGTCCATTGACACCTCCAAGGTCATATGGCTGGCATGACTGCATGGAGTGTCATTACCTTCCAGCAGAAGTGGTACCTATTGATCTACTCACATTTGCATGTTTTCAAACTGTTAGGTTGGCAGAAGCTGTGGCTGACAGCAGGAGCTCATGCTGCTCTCCAGATTCGAACCTGTGACCTTTCGGTCAACAAGTTCAGCAGCTCAGTGGTTTAACCCACTGTGCCACCAGGGCCTCCCTACTCTAGCTAAGAATAATCAAAAGGATTTCAGCCCAAATGCTGATTACCTTATGTTTTGTAATAGTAATAAATACATGGACAAGATAATATGCAAAACATGTTACTGAGAAAGGAAGAAGCACCCAGAAAGGTGCTATATCAACTGATGTTTTGTGAACTCATCCCTAATGTATCTATTGATGGCTAAGAGTAGTGGTAATAAGGAAACGGGGAGAAAGAACTCAAAGGGAGGATTATCAGAAAGAGGAGACAGCAATTCTACTCCTTTTCTCCAAAAAGCAAAGACCCCAGTTAGCTGTTTCAAAAATAAATAGTTTTGGAGGATTTTAATCAGTTGTAGATCTTGTTGTTTGCTGTCAAATTGACTTCAACCCAGTATGACATCTTTAGTTTAATCCCATGTTTCTCAACCTGGGGTTCAAGATCCCTGGAAGGGGGGGGGGGTTCGCGTAGGGGTTTCAGAGGGGTCGCCACAGTCCATTGGAAAACACAGTATTTTCTGTTGGTCATGGGGATTCTGTATGGGAAGTCTGGGCCAATTCTATCATTGGTGGGGTTCAGAATGCTCTTTCATTGTAGGTGAACTATAAATCCCAGCAACTCCCAAATGTCAAGGTCTATTTTCCTCAAGCTCCACCAGTGTTCACATTTGGGCATATTGAGTATTCATGCCAAGTTTGGTCCAGATCCATCTTTGTTTGGGTCCACAGTGCTCTCTGGATGTAGGTGAACGACAACTCCAAAACTCAAGGTCAATGCCCACCAAACCCTTCCAGTATTCTCTTTTGGTCATGGGAGTTCTGTATGCCAAGTTTGGTTCAATTCCCTCGTTGATGGAGTTCACAATGCTGTTTGATTGTACATGAACTATAAATCCCAGCAATTACAACTCCAAAGTGACAAAATCAATCCCCCTCAACCCCACCAGTATTCAAATTTGGGTGTATCAGGTATATTTGTACCAAATTTGGTCCAGTGAACGAAAATACATCCTGCATATCAGATATTGACATTACGATTTATAACAGTTGCAAAATTACGTTTCTGAAGTAGCAACAAAAAAATGTTATGGTTGGGGGTCACAACAATATGAGGAACGGTATTAAGGGGTTGCGGCCTTATGAAGGTTGAGAAACACTGGTTTTCTTTACTTGCAAAAAAAATGGGCTTGGTTTGCTCTGAGATCCATTCATTTGTTCTATTAACCATTTATGGTATCCATAAAACTCTTCTCTGGGCCATATTGCCCACAAATTGATTTTTTTCCCATCAGCTTTCTTCACCAGCTTCTACACAGATATATAGAAAATAGAAATATGATGACCTTGGTGAGACTGACCATGAGCACGAGATGTAGTTTTAAATTGTGTTCCATTCAGCAATTATTTTAATATCACGGATTATTTAATTTTGTAATAATAGTACCACTAATAGTAATGTTTTACCCACCTGTTCTATAACTCATGAAGTTGCTTATATATTGTTTTAGTGAATCATGGTGTGAATTTCATGGAATTTCACTTAGAGGAGGAACACATGATATAAATCAAATGAATGGATTAAATACCACCAATTTTTGGCTTTTAAACCATCTCCAGAAGCCTCGTTAACTATTGTCAGCAATGGTTTATGTCCAAAGAAATATGTTCCTTCCCAGATCAAAGGGACACTCATCTATACTCAATAGTGAACATCAGTAGAATAGTCCCAGCTACAAACAGTCCCAAATGGATAGTGAAATGATCCTTACCATGTCCTCCATCCAAAAATTCTGTGATGTACATGGCACTGCATGGTGACCACGGCAGAGTTTTGTTAAGTTGGATAAAGAGAGGAGCCATCATGTGATGCCTTCCTAAACTCCCAAAGAGTCTCTCACAGGTCTTGTGATCATCATGGGGCATGCTGAGTACGTGCCCTGGAATAGGAGAAAACAGAAAGAAGAAGTCAATAGATGGACCTAGAAAAGGCCTGGAGATGACACACTTTCCCGGATGTATATGAACATCAAATCCTGATCGTGTAGATATGGAGGTCATACTGTATAGTCCTAGAGTTTGTAGTCTAGTGGGGCACTACAGCTCTCAATGGGGCCCCCGGTGGCGCAGTGGGTTAAAGCACTGAGCTGCTGAGCTTGTTGATCGAAAGGTCGCAGGTTCGATTCCAGGGAGTGGCGTGAGCTTCCGCTGTCAGCCCTAGCTTCTGCCAACCTAGCAGTTCGAAAACATGCAAATGTGAGTAGATCAATAGGTACCGCTCTGGCGGGAAGGTAACAGCGCTCCATGCAGTCATGCCGGCCACATGACCTTGGAGGTGTCTACGGACAACGCTGGCTCTTCGGCTTAGAAATGGAGATGAGCACCACACCCCAGAGTCAGACATGACTGGACTTAATGTCAGGGGACTACCTTTACCTTTTTTACAGCTCTCTAGCTGAGAATTCTTAATGCTCCACCCTAAACTGTAAATCCCAGACATTGGTACGATGATGTCATAGCAGTTAAAGTGGAATCATAGCGTTGTAAGTGTGTAGTGTGAAGGCATCCATAGTCTTTACTAAGGCTGAAGCATTCTACAAAATTAATGACACAGCATGACTTTAAATACTAAATGAATTACCAACATAACTCTTCTAAGCAAGAGCGGAGCAAAAGCTGTCAGGAGAACTGTAAAAATGTGCAAAATTTTATCTGTTCATTGTATGTATTTGGGTTATGTATGTATAAGTAAGTTTGTATCTTTAATTGCTGAAATGCTTGTGATGTGGTTTTGGTTAATTGGGTGCAGGTGGATCTAATTACTGTGGTTATAATGTGGTGCATCTGCCTGCAGCCAGCAGCAGCCTTCAGCAGCTTTCAGCGTCTCTCAGCGTTCTGCTATTGCTATAGCCTTGAGCTTTTGGAGAAGCTATGGCGTTTTGGAGTTTGGGACTCTAAATGTTTTGTTTAGGGTCTGATATCTGATGCAAGATGTTTGTTTTCTTACTTTTGATGTTTTCCACTATGAATTTATAATAAAGCAAGACTCTGCTGACAAAAGCCATACTGAAATATCACTCCACTGGCAAAATGGGATTTTTTTTTATCGTGTCAGGAGCGACTTGAGAAACTGCAAGTCGCTTCTGGTATGAGAGAATTGGCCATCTGCAAGGACATTGCCCAGGGGACGCCCGGATGATTTGATGTTTTTATCATCCTTGTGGGAGGCTTCTCTCATGTCCGCACATGAGGAGCTGGAGCTGATAGAGGGAGCTCATCCGCCTCTCCCCAAATTCGAATCTCCGACCTGTCGGTCTTCAGTCCTGCCAGCACAGGGGTTTAACCCACTGCGCCACCGGGGGCTCAGCAAAATGGGATCAGCATCAACACACACACACACACACATATATATATGAGAGTAATGGTTTTGGAAGATATGAGTGTTCCCCCAAAAGCCTTAGAATAGGTAAAGGTAACATTTTTCCCATGACATGGGAAAAGTCCAGTCGTGTCAAACTCTACAGCTTAGTGCTCATTTCCATTTTTAAGCTGAAGAGCTGGCATTGTCCGTAGACACCTCCAAGGTCATGTGGCCAGCATGACTGCATGGAGCACCGTTACCTTCCCGCCTAAGCAGTATCTATTGATCTACTCACATCTGCATCTTTTTCAAATTGCTAGGTTGTCAGAAGCTGGGGCTAACAGTGGGAGCTCACCCCACTCTGTGACCTTCTGGTCAACTTGCGACCTTCTGGTCAACAAGTTCAGCAGCTCAGCGCTTTAACCCATTGCGCCACCATTTTGTAATGGTTTTGTAAGATATGAATGTTCTCCCAGAAAGTCTTAGAATACGGTTTGAGAATTACAGCAGATATGTCTCTATGACAACATCCATATTTGACATTTTAAAATACCCATGAGCACAAAACACACTTTGTGCCACATGGGATGGTACTTGGGTGATGGCGTGCTTATTCTTGCATATTTCACTCAGTGAAACTATTCTGTTTTCCCTCCTGAGCTATTATTTTCTGCCACACACTTGATTTTGAGAATAATTTGACACCTAGGTATGATCCAGGAAACATCTTTTGATTCTGGCACAACCTATCTCTATGGGCAGGGTAGCTACCTAGTTCATGGGCCAAAGTGTAGGCAGCCTGGAGGCCCTCATCTTCAATCACAGAACAGCTTTTGTTGGGGTCACACATGGTGCCCGTCTCAGCCACTCCAAGCGTACTGCAGCTCTGATGTCCACAGAAATCCTGCAAGTAAAGAAAAATGTGAGATGTAAAATACTTTTAAGACTCCTGTTCCTCCCTGTGATATCCCTGGTGAATCTTCTTAAGCACATACATAGAATCAGATATCAACTGGATCACTTTCCTTCTCTCCCAAACTTGTCTGTCCAATTGTTAGGGCTGTCAGTAGAGACTGTCTTTAGATGTTCTCACCTGTTCAGGTATGAAAGGTGACAACTGGGGACACAACCTTTTCATAAGTGGCACCCTTCTCTCATGATGTCCTATCCATGGAAGATCACTTGATGCCTACCTGTTACCTCTTTGGTGCCAGGTAAATATAATTTTATTCATACATGGTTTGAAGACCTCTTTTGATATCACTCATCTTTTAAAACCACCATGAAGATTGTAACTGTCCCGTATGGATGAAAGTATGTTTTAATTTCTTTTCTTTTCTTTAACTATTTATTCTAATTGATATCTATTGGTATGGAGTTGTCACCTAGATTTTCTGTTTTGGGACCAAGCAAACACCAAAAGGCCTTGACGTATCTCTGGTGGGCTTTGAGTTTGTATGGGTGATTTTATTTAGACATAATGGTGTCAGTACAGAATCTCCCCTATCCCCATTCCAGATATATTTCAGGTTTGTAAAGGACACTCAACTGAAGAATTAATGCAGATTGATACCAGTTTAACTGCCATGAGTCAATGCTATGGAATCATAGGAATCGGAATTTGGTGAGGCAATAGCACTCTTTGGTAGAGTGAGCTAAAGACCTTGTAAAAGCACCACTCCTATGCTTTCATAGTATTGATCCATCACAATTAAATTGGTGTTAAACTGTGTTAATAATATCTGGTCACCAGTATTAAGCCAGAATCACCTTTAGATGACCAAGTGAGCACAATACAATGCATGGGTTACTCCTTAAAGAAAAGGACCTAGGCAAGAAATAAATGCTTCTCTGTCCTTCTCCCAGTTCAGCCTGAATGTCTCTGAGGGAGTCTGCCAGCAGGCCTTTTCCATACCTGTCTTGTCAAGAGGATTGCTGTGTCATAGTGTTCGGAGTGACGGTCGCTTGCAGGATTGAACTGCTGTTGCCAGTTGCAGAAGTTACGCAGCATGAGCCCTCCGTTGTCCGAGACCTCCGGCCCAGCCTTCTCGTCTTCCACCAGCAGCACCTTCACTACCACCAAATTGATAGAGTTCTTCAGGCTGGGGTGTTTGTAGATCTGAGCAGCTACAGACATTAAAGTGAGGATATGATTCTGAAAGATGGCAATGGATAAAAGAAATGACACATCAGGTAAATATCCTGCAAGCAGACAAAGCTATAGAGGTTAAGACAGTGATCCCCAAACCTTGCTCTCCAGTGATTTTGGACATCAACAAACCAAAGCTTTGCCAACTTGGCCAAAGTTTTGGCTGAAGTCCAAAACACCCAGAAGACCAAAGTTTGAGAAACATTGAGATAAGGCTTTGGTTTGTCATGAACCAAATGGAAATAAACATAAAAGACAAAAATAACGTCTTTGTTTTTATTTACTCTTTAGATTCCAAAGTTTGGTGTAGGCAGTGTTTTCCACAGAATTGTAGGAGGACAATAGTGTTTCCTAGTAAAGCATCATATACAAGCTCCAGCTTTCTCCATGATTAGAAATAAAATGTCCAGAATATATTTAACTGTGGTCAAGTCTATATAAATAAAAATGTAATGTTTGTTTGTGGGATTAACATAACTCAAAAACCACTGGAAGAATTGACACCAAATTTGGACACAATCCATGTTTTGGGGACAACGAGTAACCATCACTCATAAAAACACTGAAAAACACAGCAGAAGAGACCTCAAAAGCAAAAAAACCCAAAAACTCCCAAAATACATTACAATGCATGTGCAAAACCACACACACACATATGCAAACACACATATACACACATATATACACACATATATACACATAAAACACATACACAGACTGGGCCCAGCAACGCGTGGCAGGGAATGGCTAGTATATAGTAAGATCCACAAGAAATCTGCTCTGCTCAGCCAGATACACAAGGGAAGACAATGGGAAGGAGATAAGAGCAATAACACTCTTGCTCTTCTGCCTCAGTAGCTGGCATCCAGATCCTGGACAGAGCATATAACCATGACAACTAGTAACCATTGATATATTTGTGCTCCATGAATATACCTGATCTACTTACAATACAATACAAAATAGTTTATTGTGCAGGCCCAAGGCTATGACAAAAAGCACCACATGTGCATAATTATACCCTTGGAGCATCTTTAAAAAACACTTTTGATGCCAAGCTACCTGCATGAGGTGTGATAATCTTTTAACTGACAGGCAATTTCAAGTTCTCATGTATATACACAAACACACATATACACAAATATATGCATACACATATATACGCACACAAAACACATACACAGACTGAGCCACAGCAACGCGTGGCAGGGGATGGCTAGTACATAATAACATCTACAAGAAATCTACTCTGCTCAGCCAGATACACAAGGGAAGACTAGGGGAAGGAGATAAGAGCAATAACACTCTTGCTCTTCTGCCTCAGTAGCTGGCATCCAGATCCTGGACAATGAATTTAACCATGACAGTTAGTAACCACTGATATATTTGTGCTCCATGAATACAGTACCTGACCTACTTACAATACAATACAATACAATACAATACAATACAATACAATACAAAATAGTTTATTGTACAGGCCCAAGGCCATGACAAAAAGCACCACTTGTGCATAATTTTACCCTTGCAGCATCTTCAAAAAACTTTTTTGATCCCAAGCTGCTTGCATGAGGTGTGATCATCCTTTAATTGACAGGAAATTTCAAGTTCTCATGTATTCAAATGAATGTAGAAATTAAGATGTCATGGTTCATAATTTTAGCCAACTTTCCCTCCCCACTTCCTCCTCACATTCCTAATTAAGAATTAGTACAGGAAGAATTGTTTGCTTTGTAGAGGCAGGGAGAACAAATGTTTACCTTGTAGTATCAGTTTGCTTTGAGATTGTTCACTTTCTAAAAAACACTGTATGGCATTTTGCCCTGATTGCCAACTAAATACTCTGTTCTCTAAATCCAAAATTCATACTAGCACAATACCTTTTATTATGTTATAAAACAAACTTTTCCAAAATTCAAGATCAGGATTTTTTTTCTCATGTCGGGAGTGACTTGAAAAACTGCAAGTCGTTTCTGGTGTGAGAGCACTGGTTATTTACAAGGATGTTGTCCAGGGGTTGCCCTGATGTTTTACCATCCTGTGAGAGGTTTCCCTCATGTCCCTTCTGACAGACGGGAGCTCACACCGCTCCCTAAATTCAAACTGCTGACCTTTTGATCAGCAGTCCTGTCGGCACAAAAGTTTAGCACATTGTGCCACCGGGAGCTCCGGTGGATCAGGATAGAGCAGTGTTTCTCAACCTGGGGGTCGGGACCCCTGGGGGGGTCACAAGGGGGGGGGGGGTTAGAGGGGTCGCCAAAGACCATCAGAAAACACAGTCTTTTCTGTTGGTCATGGGGGTTCTGTGTGGGAAGTTTGGCCCAATCCTATCATCGGTGGGGTTCAGAATGCTCTTTGATTGTAGGTGAACTATAAATCCCAGCAACGACAACTCCCAAATGTCAAGATCTATTCCCCCCCCAAACTATGCCAGTGTTCACATTTGGGCATACTGAGTATTTGTGTCAAGTTTGGGTCCACAATACTTTCTGGATGTAGGTGAACTACAACTCCCAAATTCAAGGTCAATGCCTACCAAACCCTTCCAGTGTTTTTTGTTGATCATGGGAGTTCTGTGTGTCAATTCTGTCGTTGGTGGGGTTCAGAATGCTCTTTGATTGTAGGTGAACTATGAATCCCAGCAACTATAACTCCCAAATGACAAAATCAATCCCCTCCAACCTCACCAGTATTCAAATTTGGGTGTATAGGGTATTTGTGCCAAATTTGGTCCAGTGCATGAAAATACATCCCGCATATCAGATATTTACATTACAATTTATAACAGTAGCGAAATTCCAGTTATGAAGTAGCAACAAAGATGACGTTATGGTTGGGGGTCACCACAACATGAGGATCTGTGTTAAGGGGTCGCGGCATTACGAAGGTTGAGAAACACTGGGATAGAGGGTAAGCATATATTTGGGGTGAGGGGAAATTCACTAGGTCAGGCTAATTTAGAAGCCATTGATCCTTCATTTAGTAGCTTTAGCATATGTTTTTAAATGTTCACTGAAAGCCAATGTGAAGGCATTTGTCTGCTATTAGCCATGGACTCCCCACCCCCTGCATTTGGACATAACCACCTAAATGGGTAAAAAACCCCAGAAGCTATTTGATTTTACCTCCGTAGAATATACCAACTTAGAAGCATCTGACTGACCATTGATAGAAACAGGATGCCAGACCAGATGGACCTTTGGTGGCATCCAGCACGGACATTCATTCATTCTAGCAGCCCATTTCCAAGAAACACAGGAAGGCGTTTTACTACAGGGAGTATTATGACGACCGTTGCCTTCCGCAGGCTACATGGGAGATAAACACCAGTGACATATTTGTGAATGGGACCTATTTCCATGCAGGCCCTTTGCGTACGCACTCAAGTGTTTACCCCACAGCACCTCATGTTTGGGTCAATGAGACAGAGAGGAGATGACTTCATATGGCAGGCACGCCAGCTATTTCGAAGCCTGATGCTAACATCTTATCAGCGAGTTGGAATTCTGACTCCTTTTGGCATTGGCCCATAGGAACGCGTTCACAAGACAAAAATGTAGTTGTTACACAACCATGAAGCAACTGAGGAACAGCAAAGGGTCACTTTGTTCCTCACTTTACTTTGTAATGTTCCTTGCTTTGCAAATTCACAAATCCCTGTTTAATTAAGTTATATAGGCTAGAATTAAGGACAGATGAAAGAGACCAGTTCTCTTTCCCTACTTGCTCCTGCTACTTATTTCTGCCTTGCTGGGAATTTGTCTATGACCCAAAGTGAACCAAACATCATAGCTAGATATCCAGATGACATCTAGTTTCAACAGTTCATTCCAGTCCTTAACACAGGGTGAATTGGGCCTATCCTTAGCCCCATATTCAGGTAAGGGCTCTTCCACACAACCATATAATCCAGAATATCAAGACAGATAATCCACAATATCTGCTTTGAACTGGATCATCTGAGTCCACACTGCCATATAATCTAGTTCAATGTGGATTTTATACAGCTGTGTTGTAGGGGCCCCAGTGGGAGAAAACTTGGGACTTTCACTGAAACTTTGGAGAAGCCCTGAACTTTGGACAGAGTGTGGACAACAAACTGGCTCCAAAACGAACTGTGTCCCTGTCCTCACAGTCTGATGTCTCAGTTTCCTTGCCCCAGTGCTCAACAGTGCAAAGCAAAGGGGATGGATTGGGACTGTACTGGTTTTGTTGATATGGCAGCTGACCATCACTGAGTACCTTGTTGATTGGTTGTCTAAAGGTTTTTATATTGGGCAATGTGTCATCTGATTTCCCAGGACAGGAGGTTTATGAATGCCTGAAAGTCCCATAGTCTCATCTTTATGCTCCTAAGGCATGTTTCAGGCATTATTATAGTTATGTCAGTGCTATCTGGGTTCTCTCCAAAATGAATGTATAATTTTAACAAGGTTCAACAAGATGTCAAGAGGAATGTGAATTGTGTGATCAATCCATTTCCCTCCTCCTCCTTTTCTCTTTGTCATCCCCTGCCCTGTGTAGAAGTGCTCTGAATTCTTTTCCCATCCCTGAATCTACAAATGAACCTTTTCAAAAAGCTAGAAATCAAAGATGTAAATCAAACTGAGCAAACACCTATTCAATAATGATTTAATATTTAAATATTTAAAAGATCAGGGTCTTTTGTACTGCCTTCCTGTGACTTGGTTTTAGGTGTACAAAGAATGCTACAATGAGAAAACCCGTCTGCTTTGAGGGTAAACAACCACCACCTGGGTAAATAAGTCCATTTGGCTGGCAACAATGTGCACATTTCACTGCATTGGAAATTTTAACAGGTGGATCTGGAGACATGGCTTGGCTAAACTTTCACCATTCAAGGCTGAGTCCCCTTTGGGAAGATAAAGCAGGATATTATTATTATTATTATTATTATTATTATTAATAATAATAATAATATTAAAAAAGTTACAGAGAAGTATGAACACATTAAACTCCTCTGGGACTTCCGAATTCAGACAGAT